CCATAATTTAAATATGTTTTACACAACGCATGCTAGAGCAAACTGCATGCAAATTAGCATAAAGGTGCACTTACATTAGGTATACATTTTTTTCAAAAAAGAATATAAGAAACACATAAGGTGACAGAGAAACAGCGTTACCGGGGTTTATCCGAAGAAATTCTGACTAACTAGCGCGTCCAAAAGAGGAGATTCTGCTCAACTTTTTGTTCTGCAAACCCGAATATAATAAGCAGAGCAAGCTCTGCTAATAAAGTAAGTAAAAATTAACTTTAGATATAATCTTTACTTTAAGTAATATATTTTAATTATATCTAGCACTTTATCTCTAGTTATTCTAGTCTACCTAAGCATGTTTGCAAAGCACATGCCTTGCTAATTATTAGAAATTAAGCTAAAAGATAAAAAAAGGCAGCTAAACTTTAAATTATTAAAGGTATACATTTTAGATATAATTTTTAAATTTTAGTTATACATTCTAATTATATCTAAATATGTATAAGGCAATTATAGAGACTATTTAACAGGTAGTAGAGAATAGTAACAAGAATGCTAGGCTTGCTTTGCGTTAGAATCCTGTATGTTTTACTACTTATAAAATATATTACTAAAATAGCATTAATTATATCTAGCTACTAAAAACTTAAAAAGAGATCTACATAGATGCCTGCGCAAAGAAAAAGTAAGTTACTGCTAAGAAAAAAGTAGTTAAGGTAGCTAAAGGTAGTGCAACTAAGGTAAAATACTTTCTAAATACATTTCTTAAATTATATTTTAATTATATCTAGCATAAAAGAAAAGTTAACTTAGAGGATAATAACTATAATCTAGATAAGGACATAAAGGTTAAAGATAGTAAAGTAAGTTAGTTCTAGATATAATTTTTAAATTTGTATCTTAAATATATCTACGCTTACCTTTTTAGGTGTTTAACTATAAGGTTAGCTGTGTTATTTACTATAATAATCTTAAAGTAAGTATTATTTAGATATTATATATAAAATGTATCTAAAAGTCTTAGTTTTCTAACAACCTGTTTACAATCTATGTTGCTAAAGGTGTAAAGATGCCTATAATTCTAAGTAAAACTTTTAAGGTATGTAGATATATTCTAGATACATTACTTAAGTTTAAATACTAATTATATCTTAGTTACTTAATATCTTAGCCCTACTTTGCATTATTTCTGTCTATAATAATAGTTATAAATCTCTATGTGTAAACTACAGTAAAGTAACTAATATATATAGGGCTTATAAGTGTAAGTGTTTTCTATTTAAGATATAATTTCCTAAATTTTAGGTTATGTATTCTAATTATATTTAAAATGCACTTTTAATAGGGCCTGTGCTAGCTGTAACTACTTCCCTAAGTAGGATGTACCTGCTAACTAGTATACAGGCCTAACTTACAAGGGTATCCTGCGTAGGCACATTTAAGTAGATAAGGAGTAGTTCTAGATATAATTACTAGATATACATAAAAAAAGCTATAAAAATTTAATTTAAATGCATTACTTAGAGTTTTTTTTTTAAGCAGCTTAAGCTACTTTTTAAGGATAAAAATTTTATTTAGATATAATCTACAGGATTTTTTAAGCAGCTAAGGCTGCTTTTATAAAAGGTAGATTTATTACAGATATAATACCTCTATATTAACTTAGGCGTTTTATTAGAATATAATTCTAGAGCTAATAGCTTTCTCTAACCTAGGAAGTAATTTAAATGCAATACTTTATTTTTAATGTTTAAAAAGTAAACTACTTAAAAGCTAAAATTAATATAATATTAAAACTAATTTATATTACTTAATGTTTTAAAAGTATTCTTTAAAGGTCTTAAAAGTAGTTATTTATATAGTTAATATTTACTTAACTACTTTATCTTTAAATCTAATAATAATCGCGTTAAGAATAATACTAATAAGTATAAAATAAAAAGTGTAGGTGTATATTATAATGTTAAATATAATTAAAAATATATTATAGATGCGTTTACATTATATCTAGCTACTTATATCTACTTTTATTATCTACATCTAAGTCCTTTATAGCTAAGCTTATTACTAGATAACGCTCTTTGTATTAGATCTTAAGAGCTAGAAGCTCTATTTAGTGTTTTTTAAGCTTAAACTGCTGTATATCCTATTTATCTACTGTAGTTAGTAGCCTTAGAAGTAACTTTTATAATAAGATATAGCATAGCTTAAAAGGTAAACTAGTTAAGCTAGTAATAGAGTTAGCAATGCATTTAAAATGTAATTTAGTTATATTTTACTACTTCTCTAGAGAAGGGACATATAAAGATAGGGTAGATCTAGAGTAGGTAAGCAATATATCTAATATGTATCTAATATGTATCTAAACATACTTTGTTAATTTTAGAATGTAAGACAGCAACTTAGTAGATAAGACAGACACTTTATAAGACTTAATTAGTGCCTAAGAGCTTTATTTAGCTAGCTAACTATAGTAAGCACTACTAGGTATATTACTGCTTAAGGTAGCAGTAAACAGCACCTAGTCTTTACTTTTCTTTGTAAGATTAATTTCTTCTATTCTTATAATCCTTTATGCTGCAACACGCTTTAGAATGTATTAAAAATTAATTTTAAATACATTTTAAAAGCTTACTTACTTTTATAAAGTATATGCTTTTTGTACTGCTTATTTATTAAGTAATTATAGTAGGTGTAGGATACACTTTTATCCTAAGCAGTATACTTTTTTATAATACATTAATCTATAGACTAGGCCCTAATTAAAATGTAATTAGTATGTATTCTAAATTAAATTAGAATGTAATAACAAGTAAAACATACCTAAAAACTATAGGCAGAAAATGCTGCTAGGTTCTATAAGCATAAGACACATTTGCTGTCTACTTAACGCTATTAGTGTGTAGGCGTTGTTAAAGGAAGTTAGAAGTAGAAATATTAGAAAGATTTAGATTTAATCTAGCAGTAATTATAAAGTGTTTTTTATAGTAGGCTTACTGCTAGATTAAATTACATTTATTCTCTAAGATATAATTAGCAACATTATAAAATACATAATAAATAAATTTTTAAAACATACTAATTAGCAGATCTAGGATCTAGTAATATTTAGTAGCTAATGCCTCTAGTATAGTAACTATTTAGGTATAAATAGAGTAGTAAGTCTATTTAGGCCTAGCAGCTCTCTTAATACTACGCCTAAAGTAGACGCAGTAAAAGATAAAAAGTTGCCTTACTTACTACCTTTAATTACAGCTGTATAGATTAATAGACTAAAGCTAATGCGTAATACCTGCATATAATTAGTATCTATTTTTATTAGTTTTAGCATAATACAGAATGCATTCTATATCTACTTACTAGCTAGTTGCTTCTTATCTATATTAGTAACTAAGGCTATTAAGCCTTTACTATGTAAGTATTAGAAGTAAAGTTGTTTATTTATTATCTTAAAGATAAGCTTATTAATACGCGCTATTATATACTAATAGGTAACACGCCTAGCGCTATTTGTAATAATACAAAAATATAGAATGTCTAGATACATTAATAATATATTTAGAATGTATATAAATCTATAACTTACTCTTCTTATACTTTTTACTTTATAATATAGTAATAATCTTATTAAAGGCAGTATTATAGATATGGTTAAAAGCTATATTAATTTTAAAGGACTTTTGTTAGAGTAAAAGCTTAATCTGCTGCTTATAGCAACAGATAATTATAACCTTATTAGTATTATTATAGTAGCTTTAGATATAGCGCTAGATATATTAGAAATGCATTCTAAATGTATTTATAAAATATACTTACCTCTTCTACTAGCAAGAAATGCTGCTAATAATACTTAGCTAGTACACTACAGGTGGTCTTGCCTTAGAGATAGGCAAGTAGGTGTTCTTAGTATAAAAGACACCTAATTTAATCTTTATTTATAAAAGACTAGTAAATTTAAAAAAGAGTAGCTGCATAGTAGTTATTATAAAATTAATAAAGCATTAAGCTTTACAAGAACTAGGCTGTAGCAGTAGGTTTAGTTCTAAATACATTTTAAATATATATAAAATGTTTTTACTTACTAAGCATTATATTAGGTGTAATGTAGTTAGCTATTACTCTAATTAAATAATTAATAACATCCTCTAGAGCATAACTAGAAGAAAAAGGGCAACTAATATATGTTCTAAATAAAATAAATATTATAATTAGCTTATTAATCTAGTTATTAAAGATAATAAAGTAGAAATAAAGGGCACAGCTGTTATATTAGACTATGTTTTCTTAGCCTTGTAGATAGTTAATACCTAGATACATTAAAAGTTAATTTAGAATAAATATATAGCTATTTTTTAAATAAACTTACTGCATATTTAGTGCTTTAAGATGCTTAGCTTAACAACACTATAGTATTTAAGTGCCTTTTAAGGTACTTTAACACTACACACTAACCTTTCTAAAAGAGGCTTATTAAAGGTATTAAGCAAAAGCTACTTATAAAAGTGCTTACTATACTTTTTTAAAGCTATGTAATAGTTCTTGTAGGCTAAGTAAAGAGTTAATCTGCTATTTAGGTCTAGATATATTAAAAACCTATGCTAAATATAATAAAAGTGTTATAAGAATGTATCTAAAAGTAGGCTTACTAGAAATCTTAGCTGCTTAATTATAAGCTTATAGCTTTTTACTTATAAATTGTAAGCTTTATATATGTTAAACTTAGTCTGTGCCCTTTAGAAAATTACTATAGATTTACACCTCTTTAAATCTATTTCTAATATATTATTAATTATATAAAGCTTTGTGTAATAAGCCTATATTAAATCTAAAATCTATTTATATTGCATGTTAGATAAGTCTAGATGTAGGTATTCACAGCTACAGAATCCTGTGCACTAATATTTAGCACAGAGGGCATTACACCTAAGGTAGGGTAAGTAGACTAGGCAGAACAGTAAGACAACTTAGCACAAGAATTAGTAACTCTAATATAATAATAATACATTAGCAATAAATTTTTAAAGTATCTTTAAAGAATTAGCTGCTGTAAGTACTTTTAACATTAATATAGCTTACTACTAAGTAGAGTTATTATAATTAAGTACATAAGCATACCTATTTAGATATGTATAGGGGTATTTAGGTAGGATCTAGCTACTGTCTATCTTATAGGCAACAATAAGGTTAACGCTTTTAGTAAGTGCTAGCTATACATTATCTTCTTTTTATAATATACTTAGAGTATATTTTAAATAAATAATAAATGTATCTTAGAGCTTACTTACTTATACATTAGGGCCTATAGGCTTAACTTTTAGCAGGGGATAGCTACGCTTTTTAGTAAGGGCCTTGTTCTTATCTTTAATAATAAGGTCTTATGTATTAATAGTAAGATTATTAACTAAGGTTTAAGCTTGCTTAACTAGGTAGTAGTATTACTAGATAACTTCTATAAAAGAAGGCATAGAAGAAGGTACAGTATTAGAAGACATTAAAGATACAAATTGTTAAGTTTCTAGATACAAAAAGGCTTAATTGCAATTGTATCCTAGAATGCGCTAGATATGCTTTTAATTTATAATTAAAATGTACCTACACTGCTATTTGCGTCCCCTGCTTCTGTTGCAGGGCTATTACCTTTTACATACTAGCTTTATAGCTAAAAGATAACCTTGTATATACAAAAGTTAAGCTAGACATAAAAAAGTTAAGCTAGATATAAAAAAGTTAAAAGCTAACGCAACACTTTCTGCTTTTAATTTCTGACGCTTGGCTGCTCAAGCGAGTTTTTAGCGTGTATGAACGAACTGTACGCACGGTTGCCCCTTCTCTCCCCATCCGTCTGAGCTTGCTGAGATAAGTATCGCGTGAGCCACGTGCGATAGAAGATACCATACCAGCTTGGCTATTGACAACATCAACAGAATCTTGCGTGGCTCGGTCATTGTCCGTACATCTGGTGTCGAGAGGAGAGTTCGGGCGCGTTTCGACCATGATGAGGTTCGCCAACCCTTGATTTAGGGGAATTGATGTTTGTTGTGTGGGATGCCGTTAAGTGAATTGTGGCCTGCCTCCTTGAGGTCAATAGCTTACGCACGACCAATGAACGCAGGGATATTGGGGCAGGGGTCCAATTCGAAACAAGGTCAATAACATTGTTAATAACTTTCTGTGTCAGGTCTAGGCTAAACAAATCGCTGCGCCGCAGTAATCTACGACGTGGGAAGGATTCACCATTCAATATTCTTCTGCATGCACCCATGATATTGATCACACAGAAGTCCGCTGGTTACACAGCATACTTGACCAGCCCTCCACCCCTTCCTTTTCTGATGAATCATTGCCCCATAGAGACTGAGGCTCACGTCCGTCTCCCGTCCAACATACATTGATGTCCGTTGATTCCCGTAGCTCTCGCTGTCCCATATTCATAAACATAAGCAGTTTCAGGTTGATCCCTACTGTAGGGCCCGATTTCTTCTTCGTACGTAGTGCTACGCAGGACAGCAGATATATCCACCTACCCCTTCCGCTGATTGTTCTCGAGAGAAAAATCTCTTCTGCGACACCTTTTCGAAATCCAGGCGCCTTATTTTCTCTATTGTTTCCTCATTGTGGAATAAATACGATGGCGAGTGAGAACTCCGATTTTGCAGCCTTGCTCGACAATATGCCAGCTATGCAGCCTCCACTAGGTGTTCAGTCAAACTTCGATAACCCCCGGACTGATGGTCGCGTTCTCGTTATCGTCGGGACTGTTTTCACAGTCATACCTTTCATTGCGGTCATCCTTCGGCTCTATGTGAGAAAAGTCGTATCCTCCCAGAAGATCTTGTGGGATGATGGTAATGCTTAATGAGAGAATAGAAATGCTATCGAAATTCTGCTGACTTCCCTAGCTATTTGCTTGATTGCAGTGGTACGGTACAAAGCATGAACAGTAACATGCATGCTGATATGGCTTAGGTGGTGACTATCGCCCATACTACGTTGATGATTAAGAGTAAACAGTCCACCATTTTGCTAAGTTGCAAGAGCTGCAAGAAATGCATGCTAATGCGCAATTTAGACCTCGACTACGGACTGGGAAAGCACATGTGGGATATCCGAGCCCTGAGTGTGACCCACCAACGACTTGTGGTACGTTGAATAGCACCAAGTGCCTTGCGATAAGCTAATATTGACAGTCCTTACTAGTCATGGACGACGTGATAACAGCCGCCGCGTACCTTACACGTATCTCAATTCTACTCCTCTACTACCGCCTATTTCAAGTCTACGACACCTCGTGCCGATTGGTTTGTATCGGCATGACAGCATGCACATTGATCACAATTCCTTACCTCGGCGTTATTATTACACGTGCAGTACGATGCACAGAGCCAACCGCAATCTTGACCAACACTTTCTGCCATACAAATACAATCAGCATCGCTGTTGTAACATTCGCCGGCTTAAACATGATCACCGATTTCTTCATCCTCCTCATTCCTATTCACAGGTTCTGGAGTCTCAATGTTAGTAAGAAAAAGAAGATGGGGCTTATTGCCATCTTCGCAGCCGGCTTCCTGTAAGGCTCGCACCACTACTTGTCTCCAAGCCATAGGTTGTTTCACAGAGCCACTAACTTTCTTTACTAGTGCCTGCGCCTTTGCGGTTGTTCGATTGATATGGGTCTGCATCCATTTTAGCGATAAAGACACCTTACGATATGCTTTGTGGGTCGGACTTTTTGCGTACGTTGTCTCCTTGTTAACCCTAGCCTCAGGACGCCAAACTCTAATAGCTTGACAGGATCTTAGAAGTCAACATCGCACTCACATCTAACTGCGCCATCTTCTTCCCAGCTGTCTGGAAGGCTCGTAAATCTGTCTTTTCAATCAGTTCTCGTCGACGACATGGCGTGAGTGGCTATGATATGAACTCAAGGGACTATGCCAGTGAACATAAGTCTAAAGAGCCTGGTGCGCGTGGGAATTCTCGTGAAATTTCCAAGTCCATAATTCAGCACAAAACCCGGGGTATGGAATTTGACGATGACATCATTCAGCAACTGGAGGTTTCTGAACAGTCAAGGCGCTGAGGTCAATCTGAAAGTGGTCCACCCTGGCCCCTAGGCTTGAATACGAACACTTCAAGACTTGACCTCATGATCACGAAGAGATTGAGAAGTATTATGGTGGGTTTCTCTCCATAGCAATACAAACAAGAGGTTTATAGAGAAGCTACATCTTACCGCAAGCTTTTGTGGGCGTCGGTCGCATGTGCCTGGGTAGGTGCCACCAAGCCAGTGTGAAGCCCTGGGCCCTTGTAGACCTGTCTTATCCGCGCGGGTTGGCGTACTACCCGGCTTCTCTTACGCGTTTAGAGTTGACGTGGTAGAGAGCATGGAGTTCCAAGTGGTCAATTGGGTGGTGAGGACCAAACTAGGTAGATTGAGCGAAGGTGTAAGGTCTGAGGAGCTCGAGGAACTATATAGTGTATAAGAATAGCGCTAGCCCCAAAAGGATAGGTACTAGTCCTAAATAGGAAACAGGAGTGAGTCACGGAGCCACGTTCACCCTAACGAAGGGTCACACCAACCGAGGTCACGTGCAACAACGTCCAGGGTTCGGGTCATTAGTAAGCGAGAGGAGCTGAACTTTTTCCAGCGTCCACTCCACGTCTTTTTGACAGGAACCTACATTCACTGTCGCACGTGCTGCCATCCCCATGCTCGCACTTTACACCCATTAGGACTAGCTGCTTTTTCGTACACTATATAGTTAGCTCGGAGTTCTCCAGAGCTCCTCACCCCTCTTCAGACTTTTCAATACTTGTTCAGTCCACATAGTTTGGTTCTCATTACGGTGACTTCGCCTCTCTCTCAAACTCCTGAATGCCGTTTGCGAGAATCACCATCGTTCCCCTTTGGTCCTACCACTTACCTTTGTCATGGGAGACCTCGGCTCAGTCTTTATTATAGGAGGTTGCGGTCTGCTCGGCCACCACATCGTCAAATACCTTCTTGAGTCCGGGGAGGCAACAAGCATCACTGTTTTCGACATATCGACCGAATTGAACCGGATCGAGGATCCGGTGGTTCAATACATAACTGGCAGCATTACCTCTCGGAACGATGTCCACACCGCATTACGGAAAGTGAAAGCCAATGTCATAATCAACACCGCTTCTCCAGATCCACTTGTACCTGTTCCTAGATTACTTGAAGAGGTTAACATCAATGGCACACAGAACGTCCTTGATTGTGCCATTGAACTAGGGATTAGGGTCCATGTGTACACGTCTAGCTCTGAGGTTGTTCAACGTTCGTACGACGACATTATATGGGCCGATGAAACCTGGCCGCTTCCAGAGAACCCTGTTGATGGTGCTGTATACTCTATGACTAAGAAGATTGGAGAAGAGTTGGTGCTTCAGGCAAACGGAAAGAATGGCCTGCACACCGCAGCCTTGCGCCTCTGCACAATATTCGGCGAGGGCGATCGGGTACTCACCAGACACGCGATCGAGATGGCCCAAGATGGTCGAGCAAAATATCACGTTGGAACCGGAAAAAACCTTTACGACTTCATATACGCCGGAAACGCTGCAGAGGGGCACATTCTTGCTGCCAAAAAGCTCTTGGACGAATGTAACGCTAAAGCAGCGATTTCCAGTGCATCTCAGGTAAGCGGCGAGGCTTTCTTTTTGACGAATGGTGATCCGTGGCCTTTCTGGGCCTTCTCGCGCACGGTCGCTGAAAAAATTGGAAAACCAATTGCAGACAAGGACATCTGGACAATACCGTTAGGTGTCGTTTGCCTTTTTGTGAAAGTACTTGAGTGGATGACATGGGTTTTGACGTTAGGGGGACAACCAAGCATTACAACAAATATGCTTAAATACACAGCGCAAGTCCGCACGTTCAGTATTGAAAAAGCAAAGCAGCGACTTGGATATCAGCCACGGGTGGGCATGGAGGAAGGTATTCAACGGGCCGTTACGTGGCATTTGTCTAATTCTGCCAAGGCCAAGAAATTATCCTGATCCTAGGTGGCCGGCATATTGTAGGGAAGGAGGCCGATCAAGACTGCGATACGAGGAAGGAGAATCCTGCAGTATGGCCTAATGCCATTTTTAATTTATGTAGGGGCTGCCCGTGCCGCCCCCTAGGGAGGGTTAGTAGCTTAATAACCAGGGGTGAATGTGCAATGTATTGAGTCAGATACGCACTCGAATAGCCAATATACCGGGTAAGCGCCTATGTGGCGCAGTAGCAAACACGGCAGCTGAGAGCAGTAGAAAACACGTGATTTCCTCAATTGCATTGCATTTAATTTCTGTTAACTAGTAATCCTTGCCTCTAGCTGATGCGATATGGCAGTTAATTTGTTAGTACGTCCATGTGGCAGAAATAAGAAAAGAAAGTGGACTCGCCTAGGTTTCTCTTCTCACGAACGTTCCGGAGAGGCTCTGTTTACAATAAAAAGGTGTTTTTCATTTCCGAAGAATAGGCGGTAATCCTCAGTGTAGGCGCGCAACGGCAACAGTCGCCCTTGAACGCGGGTTGATCACTATTAGTAGGCTTATAGATCTAACATCCTTAAGCGATATCTTATAAGCACAGTAATGTATTCCCTAATAATTGACGCCGCTTTCGTCATAGCTAGAGCACATCTGTTAGTCAGTCTCTGTTCCAAAGTGCAATCTGTTTTTCTGTGCCATAGCACCAAAAAATTAGCACATCACCAACTACATCCCCAGAGTCACATTGCTTCAATTCCTGTATACATTCTTGAATTCCTATTCCTACTTAAATTTTAGTTGATGTCTCCCTACCATTCGCATGCCGCCTTTTCACAGGCAAGCGACATGTCACTGCAACCACCGCTGGCACAAAATCTTGTCCTTACAAGAATTGAAACATCTTTCGAAGGAATTTTTAGGTCTTGGATAAAATATAAGGCGTGCAGAAGGAGAAGGGACGGCGAGGAAGGCTAGGATGCGGACGCACAGTGGCATGTGAGCTGGCACCAAAGGTCACGTTTTCTAGGGCCGCTCTTATGGTTAGGATATCTATTTTACGAATACCTTGATGGGCTACGGATCCGTTGGATTAGCTAAACGGTGCTAGTGTTGCGCTTTGGACACTGATTTCCTGAAACGTATCAGATCACTCTCGCACTGGCTACTTAAGAGTAGTATGCCAATGGCACCCTTAGAAACTCACTGAATTCAAACCTTGCCTTTCTCTTCTTCTAAACTCTTATCACACGTGTGTGGACGTCCTGTCCGGCTACCGGACCCATGATACCGATGCATGGAATCCTTGCTTCCAGTTCGGGTACATTTCTATGACTGTTGCTAAGAGGCTCGCCCATATTCAAATCAAATTTACAGAGAGCAAGCGCAACAAACGACAGAACCTCCCTTTGTGCTAGCTGGCGTCCTGGACAAAGAGTGACACCACCACCGAAAGGCTTGAAGCTCGAACTTTTGGCTAATGATGGATTCTGTAGAAATCTCTCATGGTTGAATTCGTTAGTATCCGGCCCAAAAACAGCTTCGTCTAGCAACATCTGACGATAGGGAACAACAATTCTGGCGTCTTTTTCTAGCACTAGATCTCCAATGGCGGCCGGGCCAACTACTGTTCGAACAGAGACCGATGATGCAGTGAGACGAAGCACCTCATTGTATACGGAGGTTAGGCAAAGACATTCACACAACTGAGCGGCCAGTTCGACTGGAGAAAGCAGCGAGTTATTGGCGAGGAGTGGAGTAACTTCATCCAATATACTCTGTCGGAGATTGGAGTCATTGATAATATACGTGAGCATCCAGAATGAAGATTTCCAGGCATTGGCATTGATCCTGACGAGGTGTCAGTATTTTCATATAAGTGTCTGCCTAATTGATGCAGAATGGTGAGTACCTACGTCCAGTAAAACATTAGCACCAACCTTCCAATGTCTCGTGATGGTATGCCACTGGCCCTCATTTTTGCCTCGATTGATTGCACGAGCCAGGAAGCATCTGCACGACTTGCAGCAGGTAAATCAAAATATCGCTGCATTGCATCTTGAGCAAAGGATTTGGCCCTGAGAAGATCCTTCGCCAAAAGCGGTGGGATTCTGTAGGAAAGCTTCCAACTGCTCTCGTCGAATTTGAAGAAATACTTGAACAGTTCTGGTTCAACCTCGAGGAGTGCTTTCCCAAAGAACGAAGTCGTGGCCCCTTGGAGGAGCACGTTTTGCGACCAATGAAGAAGCGATATAACACGCGAGTTGTGTGCTTCTGACAAAATCATGGAGGTTGGCATTTCTTCCCATGTCATTCTCTCGTGAATCTTCCGAAGAACCCGCTCCTGGACCTGATTCGAGTACTCGCCTGGATTTAATTGCAGACGGAAAAGCAGCTGGCAGACATGAGCTAATGGTTCTTTCGAAGCACTCTGCATTGCCTTCTCGAATTCCTTTGGTTGGAGATGGTCGGCAGAGTCAGGAACGGGACTCCACATGGCATTGATGGATGCTGAAGTTGCTCCGAACTGAACCATCAATTCTTTAATCCAATTGTCCATAGAAAGGTTTTCGATTTGCCTGTGCACGGAGGCAGTATCCTGAGGTGACGTTACCACATAGACCGTTTCCCCCATGATGACCAGCTTGAATGGTGCTCGATCGTTTTTGAAGTACATCCTAGGATGAATGAGCGCAAGGGATAAGTAAAGATAAAATGGGTATCAGACTGTATGCTTACCTTGCTCGCATTATCGTTCCATCACCGTCGCGGAAGAATGAAAGCGTATGGCCAACAAATGGGATCCAATACGGGTACGTCTTAGGCCTATTGGGATACCATTTAGGAGCGACCGAGAACTTCCAAATCCTCCAAAGGAACCACGAGAAGAACAACAAGACGCATATTCGCGAAGTTGGGTTCTTTCCCCCAAGGGAGAGAAGCGAGAAGAAGAGTGAGTCGATCCGTCGCAGCAAACGAGCCATAGTGGGACTTGGCGCGTATGAGACGTGGACTAGCAGGAGGACTCTAATAGTTAGGCACTCGAACTTCTGGTCGTTGCTGATTTTCCCACCATTGTATCGAGGTTTGTGATTAGGGTCTTGAATTCTGCTTCGCCTCACAACTACATTAGAGCTATACCCTCCATCCCAGTTATCAATACATGACAGAGCGGCGTGCGGACCGTGACACCTGCCCAATCGAGACTCCGGTCATTTGACGTACAAGCCTTGTTCCAATCCCAGCATTTTCAGCCAATTATCCCTACATCTAATCTTACGCAGATGGATCCATTAATTTGTATCGGACTCCGAGATCCATTATAATTGCGTGAATGCATATAACGTAGTTTACAAGCGAGTGGCCTACTCTGTTAAGTTCGTCAGCCTCTATAGCTTTATAGATTAACAACAAATTAAAATACTATTAATTTAAAAGATATCCTAGTTTAAGCAGCGTCTATAGTATTGTTTTAGCTTCTACGTCTCTCTAATGCGGTAAGAATAAGTTGGGATGCTATTGTCTAACGCAGCGTGGTTTTCAATAAGCGAAAATCTAGCTAATTAAATATTAGCAGCACTTTTATTAACATAGTAATAATAATAGCGTATTTATTTTATAAGTAAACATTATACGCAGTATTAGCATATATTAGCAGCATTTTAATGTAATTATGTAATATTAGATATAGAATGTAGTCATGTAATCAGGCGCCTTTCTTATACAGTACTTTAACCCTTGTTTATAACTTTACTTTGCCTTACTAATAGCAGCAGCAGCAGCAGCAGCAGCAGCAGCAACAGCAATAGCAACAGTAATAGCAACAGCAATAGCAACAGTAATAGTAATGTAAGTATATTCTCTAGAGACCTTATACTAAGCTTATTATAAATAATAATTTATTATAAAATCTAAACATTTTAGATCTTTTTAATAAACTAATAATAAAAGAAGCTTAAAAATAAAGTAAACTAATCTAAGATAAAAAAAACAACCTTAGCTATAAAGCTTATTATAACATAAATACTTAATCTATTTTAGTAACACTAAGAAGAGCAGCTTTATCTTAGTGCACTTTTATAGATTAAGACTTAGCAAATCTATAAAGTACTTAAAAGTATATAGTTAGCCTAATTTATAACTTTTTATAAATTATAGTTAATTTTTAAGATTTATTAATGTCTTTCTAACTTTTAGTTTACTATAACTTAAATTATTAACTTATTTAAATCTATTACCTACTAACCTACTACTCTGTACCCCTTTCTTTGCTTTAGGTACTCTATAGTTAGGTACTTATCTAAATACTTTTTTTTTTTTTACTCTTTAGTTATTTTTTTAAGCTTAATATAAACTTTAAGTTTTAGTAAGTACTTTATCTTAAAAAAGTTATTTACTTATTATAAAGCTAGCGCATTATGTAACTTCTATAAAAGCTTAAACTAAAAGTTATATAAAGCTAAGCTTAGTTTAAAGCTTTTGTTCTTTATAATGCTGCTATTACTACTGCTAACACTACTAGTGCTAATGCTAACTCTATTTATATAGTAGGACAGCAGCAGCTAGCTCCCTAGTGTTACAGTCTGCAGAGCTGTGCAGTGCTAGCCCTTCTAGGGCAGGATATAGAGTTTATACAGGGGGTAATTTTCTTTTAATAGATAGCATTACACTAGCCTTTATACATTAACGCTATTCTTATATAATCTTAAGAATAGTTAGTAGGTAACCTGTGTAAAGCATGCTTTAGCGCCTGCCTAGGCTATTACTTATTCTTATTATGTTGTTAGGTACCTAGACACTTTAGTAGAGCATGTAAGAATTATAATAGCATAACTATGCTACCTGCTACTTTATATAAGACAAAAATAATAGTAGACCTTTACGCTTACTACTAGTAAAGGTTAGCATTACTAGCGCTAACAGCAATGCAGTAGCACTAATTCTAATTAAGGATAACTAGCTAGAGAACAACCCCTAGAATGTAATTGTTATTGTATAGGTATGTATAAGCTTTTTCTTACATAAATTAGCACAAATCTAGCTATTAGAGTTATTAGCAGTAACCTACACATACCTAGCTAGTTAAGTGTGTTACTAGCACTTACACATAATCTGTAGCTTAACGTGCTGTGTAAGCTAAGTAGTTATTACTTATATAATAAAACTTAATAAGTTAGAATGTGTATAGTTTTAAATTAAATACTTTATATAAAAAATAAGTTAAGTTTTTTTAAGTAAAAGTCTAGTTTACTACTACTATTTTACATACTTTACTTTTTAAAGACTCTTAGCACCTATTTGTATTCTTTTTTATAAGACTGTATAACACACTTTTAAAAAGAAGTATTTAGGTTTATTACTTATTACTAAAAATAACAGAATATTAATTACTAATAGTAATAGCTAAGGCTATTATACACATTATTGCTCTTAACACTACTATTAAAGAGTAAAGAGCTTTCTAATCTAACTTAAAGAATTACTAAGATAGTTATTATACTTATCTTAGCTCTAAGGTTAAGTAAACTTATTAAAAATTTTAATAATTTAATTATAACGTACTTCACAGGCGAGTTGCTCACACACCTAAGTTGCTTACTTTTGCTAAGACCCTACTAAACTACTCTTCCTACACTAATGCATTCCCTACAACACTACTTAGACGCGCTAAAAGAATGTTAGATACAGCTTACGCTCTAAGCTTTTAAATAAAACATAAAACTCTTAAAGAAACATGCTGCAGCTATGTGCAAGGTTTTATAAAAGATAATAAATAACTATAGCGCTAGATAACCTTTACAAGCTAATTCTACAGCTAAATTACAGAGGCTAGGTAATAAAAAGAAGCAGGTGATTATTAAGACTATACTTAAGCTATATGCGCAAGGAATTTCCCCTTAGATAGCATTTATAGCTAATATAGCTAATTCTTTGCGCGCTAAGCGTAATCTAGGCTATATTTACATAAACTAGCCTAGTATGTTTGTAAAGCGTTATTTAGAGCTTAAAGTAATATTTAAGTGTAAGTATAACTATAAGAGAGCTCTCTACAAGAGTCCTAGAGTAATTTAGAGCAGGTTTAGCCTTGTAGAGAATATTAAAGCTAAGTATAGCATCTAGGATTGTCAGATATGCGCACCTACTGTCAAGACAGGAGGAACGTTTGACGAAAGCGGCTACATAGTACGAGCAATAAGCTCGAACAGTATGTTGCTGCAAATTGCAGCATTTTGTAGCATTTTGCAGCATTTTGCAGCATGTTGCAAGCTGGTCGCGCATAGGGCTAGTGCGCGAGAGACTCGGATCGGAAAAACAAAAGCTGAGCAACACAAGTAGAGCAGAAAAAGGATTAATAAAAAAAAAACACAATTAATACAATTAATTAATCATCCTATACATTATATCTAAACCTATTATTTATCTTAGGAAGCCTAGAAACAGTGCTTTAATCTAACAATTAAGAGTCTTAGTGCCTCCATTAATACAAAATGGCCACCCAGCCTCCTCGAGACGCGACAGTCGTCCTTCGAGACCACACCGACTACAGAGCCTGGATGATGCAGCTGCAATCAAGATGTGTAGCGCACAGCATCTGGCCGCAAGTGGATCCTAAGTTAACCATCCAAATGATCTCCAAACCAAGAGCTCTAGAGATGCCGCTAATAGCTAAGTTTTTACCAGCCTTAAACGTTAAAACGCCTACGCACATAACTAAGCTATTAATAAGTAGTGTTAGAGCCTTTAAAAAAGCTATTAAATACTATAAGATTAAGGCTAACAAGTATAAAAGTAATAGATATAATTATAAAAGAGAGTAATTAAGCTTTTAATAAATTATTGTCTTTATCTAGTTAATAGTTAGCCTGCATCTGCAGTGTACATGCTGTTCCCTAGATTAACTACTTAGACAGTAGATTACAAACCTTAAAGCTATAGTAGGTGTTAATAACTAATTTAAATAAGAACATATGCACAACTAATATAATGCATCTTAAAAGCTGCTAAGAAACGTAAGCATATAAGACCTATAGCTAGCAGAGGATAATTACGCTGCTACAGAAGCAGAGACATAAAATGTTCTAAAAACAACATAGTTTAATGCTGTTACAAAGGACTTTTTAACTACTATAAATAAAGTTGCCTTTTATTAGTCTATAACTTTTTAAAAAAGTAGACAGTTTACACTAAACATAAATTAAAAAGAAATAATAAAGCGCTTTTAAAAACACATAATGTTAAATTATTTAATATGTATAAGAAAGCATAAAGCTGCTTTTACAACAGATAACTTGTTATACCTTACTAAAAGTAGAAAAACTACCTAGGGCATAAATAAAAACACCTATAGTGCAAAAGTTGTAACATTAAGAAAATAAAGTAGACCTTAACATTAACATTATTAAGAAAATAATAAGAAATTATTTTTAAGCTAGAAACTTACTAAAACAGAAAGCACTAAATATCTTACATGTAGACACATCTATGCACTAAAGGACTACTTCTATGTCTATCTAGACAGAGCACTAGACTAGTAGATGCTAAATAAAAGAGTAAAAAAGCTTATAGCATTAAAGTGTAAGCATAACTTAGAATTTTAAGGCCTACTAAAAAGGCAGTGTAAACATAATTTAAAAATACTAATCCTAAAAACTTTACATACACCTATACTAGAGATATAAGAAGACTAACTTAAAAGCTAGAAAGTATTAAAAGTTAAAGCAGCTGCATTACTAGCTATAGTTAATTTAAACTAGAATAGATATCTGCTAAAAGAATTATTTATTCTTAACTTAGGCTTAATATGCTATATTATAAATAATTTTAATTAAATCTATAACTATTATTTACTAACACAAAGAGACTTTATCTAGTCTAGAAACTCTTACATATAGATTTAAAGCTACAGATTAATTACACTAAGCTTAAAAAGTAAGCATAGAACACATAGTTAAGCATACAGTCTTGTACTACATAACGCTGCACT